TTAGATTAGATATTCTCTAGGAAAATGGTTGAATATCTATGAATTAAATCTTTTTGTAAAGTAAAAAACTTATCTACTATATCTTACCGGGTTGTATCATTGTCACTGGTGCACTATAATAAGCAATTCTATCATCACCCGACATCATATCATAATCAAGAACAGAAAAGTAAATAAGACACATTTGAGGAAATCTTATACGAAATTCAAATGTTTCATTCCACATTGGATCAAAACCATTATTATCAATAGTTTGTGTTTGTTGTGTTTGTTGATCACAAAGTAAACCATGTGTTGATATTCTTACATATGGATCAGGTATATCTTTTGTTGTAAGACTTGATCGAGGTAAAAATTGTCCACTTATTATTGTTATTGTTAAAATTAGAGGATTTTCAAAATTAATTGGACAATTCGATGGATTAAATTTTGTTTTATGTGCATTAATTAAATAATCTGGTTTAAGTATATAACCACAACAACCATTATCACGAAATTTTCCATAACATAATGCTACCCTATCATCATCTGTTTGATAATTTAAAGCAGCCATTTGTACACCAAAATTCCATGGAATAACAGGATCTAGATTACTTGAATCTTGTCTTAAACCACCAGGATAGACACGAAGAAGACGCCATGTTGTTTGTAAAATTAAATCAAGTGGATTTTCTTCTGCATGTTTCAAAAAAGCGTTTTCAGCCAAAGATGATGAATGAAATGGTGTATCTTTTTTAAAATATAAATTTCGAAAGTAACAAAAAAAAACAATTAGATAACTTACAAGCATCTTTAGCATTATTATTATCTTTATAAGGAACATTCATAAAATAGACAAATAGTTCAGATAATTCCGGTTCAATATCCTACAATATAAGATAGTATATAAAGTATGGAAATCAGACATGTACCCAGAAATTTTCTGAGGGAAGGGCCCAAAGTCCTTAGGGGGGGGGGGGGGGGGCCACCATGGGAAAATTACAAAAATTTGCTGGGAAAAAAACGTATACCTGTACTCCCCTACAGGCGTTTTCAGTCCTGAGGGAGGGGGAACATTCCTAGGTGAAGCTCCGCTTTTGATGTGATATTTTGCCCATATATAGGTCTTCGTGAGACTAGAAAAACCCTAAAATGGTTTGGGTTTCTGGCGCTTCCTTCTTGAGCTATGATCGTTTTAGCAAAATTTTGGCCCTATGGTAGGTACTTTCGAAAAATTTCATTTTGAGGATTTTGATCTGAAATTTTGCCGGCAGATAGCTCTTATAGATACTAGATTATTCTGAAAGTTTCGACAAAAACGAATGTATCCTTCGCGAGATATTGAATTTACAGGAAACTCAATTATTGTATCTTTCGTATGACAAATGCCGATTTTTTTGTCAATTGAATATATCGAGAAGGATAGATTCGTTTTTGTCGAAACTTTCAGAATAATCTAGTATCTATAAGAGCTATCTGCTGGCAAAATTTCAGATCAAAATCCTCAAAATGAAATTTTTTAAAAGTATCTTCCATAGGACCAAAATTTTGCTAAAACGGTCATAGCTGAAGGAAGCGCCAGAAACCCAAACCCTTTTAGAGTTTTTCTAGCCTCACTAAGGCCTATATATGGGCAAAATATCACGTCAAAAGTGGAGCTTCACCTAGGGGTGTTCCCTCGTGAGGGAAACCCGAACCCCATGGGCCCCCCCCCCCCCCCCCCCCCCCCCCCCCTCCATTCGATACGTGTCTGGGAAATTCATCTTTCTCTTAGTATTATACAAAATATAGACATACTATAAACCTAGAAAATCACTTAATCAAGAAGTTATTGTTCACATGGAACAAAAATCTTTTCGAAACGTTAATAGATTTAAAAAAAAGAAGATTTCCTAACGTCTTATTAAGATCAACATATTTCGATTTTTTATTTTTTTCATTGTAATTCTTATTTTTGTTTGTCAATCTACAATGTTTAAGTTATAATGTATGTATTTTCGTGTGAAAAAAACAAATAATAGACATAAATTCTTATAAGAACATGAGAAATATAAATTTCAATTTAGTCAAAACATTATTAAAAAAGAGTTTTTAAAAATATTTAATTTTAAAACTTTTAAATGAAAAAACAAAAAAATATGTAAATAATAACATACGTTTTTTGATGGATTCCATGAGGAATGTTCATCATTGTCTTCTTGATTATTTTCATTTTTTGTTGATTTTACGGCACTCTGATAAAAATATAAGTTAGAAAATTAAATAATTCTTCTATCAATGATAAAATATACTTACACGAACAAGAACTCTATATTTTAAATCTTCTGGTGATGGTAAAACTGATGAATTTTTATTAGGTAAATGTTTTGTTACCAAACTATCTATATGGATATGAAAGTAATATGTATTAAAATTATTTTCTTACCACCAAGATAAGCTTTCAAAATTCGAGCCATTTGTATTTGTTGTTCTGGTGAACAATGATTTTCAATATTTAAAATAACTGGATAACTAACAAAATAAATAAGATAATGAACAAAAAAAGAAAAATATTTATTCGATTTTCGATAGTTCAAATTGAACTATTGAGAATCAATAGTAACTAGTTAGAATGATAATTTTGTTTTTTTGTTTTTCTAAATCAAGATTGATTAACAACATATAAATACTTAACAATAATAGAATATTTAAAATGTATAAATTTTAAGAATCATTTATAATTTTCAAAAAGATAAACAAAGATTTTGTACTATACAATTTTTTTTTAGATTAGTGTTAAATATTTGCTTACTAAAGCCTTGTGGGAGAAACTTTTTTTTTTTTGTATTGTCTTGTTGACTGATTGCTTTCTTAGCAATGCATTAATCATCAATCAATTCAGCTAATCGTTCTTTATACATCTATTTCGATATAAGAAAAAGTTTACCGAGATCGTAAGAATGTGATAAGTGTACATATGAAACTTTTTCTTCTCGAAGGCTATAAAAATGTGAATAATGATACTAATAATAGTCGAAAGGTTTTTTTGTTTTTTATATAGAAATAAACGAATATGAAATGTACGATAGAATTCTAATTTGCACGATACTAATTCACTTGAAATTAGATAAATAGTGGTTGAGTATATATTTTGAAAGAATACAAAGTTATATTTCTAACTAATTATTGTGCAAAGATATTCATATAGTAAGATAAATAAATATTCTAAATATAATTACGGAGAAGCTTTAAAAAGATTTGGTTTCATACGACGAATAATAGATTCAAAAGAACATGGATTTACAAGTGTAAAAGCATGTTTAACTATTGGTTTACCATCATCACCATCATAACAATCAAGTTCAACTGCTCGACAACCCATTAATAATACTCGATTATAAGCTTCTGGATCACTATTACCAGATACTTGACTGTAGAATAAATAACTATAATATACAAAAAAAAAAAAAAAAAAAATTATATTTAAGAATTTTTTTTTTGTTTTGAATTCATACGTATTATGAGAAGTATTAATATAATAATCACATATTGGTCTAAGAGAATCAAATAAAAAAAAGAAAATTTATATTTATTAAATATTTCTTCTCATATGTCTATACCTTGTCATATCTTGATATATTTTGTGAGATAATGATGATTCTGTAATATCAAAATTTCTCGATAATAACATATTTCGAAAACCTTAATAGAAATTTTTATCTATTGATTATTCATAGAAAAAAAAAAAGATACATACCATCAAGACTTAAAAAACCTTTTTCTCGAAATTCATTATTCATTTCAAATTCATCAATTACTTTTTGGGCTTGATTTAAACTATCAATATGTTTCATCTATTGAAAAGATAAATTAATTCTTGAAAAAGAACAAATAAAATAAATCAATATTAACATACATTTTCATTTTTTGTTAATCGAAGAAAATATAATAATTCATGTTTATCCATATAGATATTTTCCATTGTTTGTTGAAGTCCAGTTTTTACAAACCTATCAAAAAACGAAAAATAAAATATTATATTAATTACAAAAAAAAAATTACTTTTGCATTATTGTATAAAGATCTTTACGACGTGTTAACATTTTAAAAAAAGTTACAAATTCAACAGGATTTAAAACATCATATTGAGTTTTTTGTACTTTCTAGAAGAAACAAAAAAAATATAATTTAAATAAAAATAAAAGTTAAATTTTTACATTAAACATATTTTCAAATATATTATCAGGCATTTCAATATTTAAAGAATTTGAAAGTAAATCACGACATTCTTTTTTCGATAATGTTTGTGATTTATTTGTATCAGCAGCATGAAAAAATTCTAATATCCAACTATAATAAATAAAAAGAATATCATTAGAATAAATTTTTTATTTTATTTTTTTTTTGTACTTTTCTTCTCCAATTAAATGATGTTGACGTTTATTTGAACGTTGATCTACTAAATGTTGTAAACCTGATACCCATAAATCTCGTGTTTTCATATCAGGTGCTATTAAATGTGCTCCTTTTCGATGATTATCATATATGATTGAAAAAGCACGATCATGCTAAATAAATCAAAATTTATCAAAAAAAAAAAATAATAAATTATTTTTGAAATTTTATACATCATTTGATTTAATTTTTCGACGTTGAACAAGTTCATCAAATGTTTGTGCAGCAAATCCTGTTCGAATTTCATCAATATCATTTACTCGATCTAAATAAAAATTTTTTTTATATTATTAAATTTCTCAATATTAGAACTTACATATTCGTGGTTTACCATTCAATTTACGTGATCCATCATATGTTATGTAACCTTCACGTTCGTGAAGAAAAAATTGACGAGGATATTTTTTTCCATTATCCTTATGTTTTACCATAACTACACCTGCTTTAAGTTGATGTATCAATTGAGCTATGGTATCATTGGTTTCGGCCATTAATCCTATTGATTTCGTTATTTATCGGAAAAAGATAAATAAAATGAAACAGACAACGTAACATTAAAACAAAAAAAAAAAAAAAAAGAAAAGAAGTTTATCATCGTCAAATATATGACTATAAAACCTACTGAATTTCATCAATATCATCTTTCATCGTTTATTAACATGTAACATTTTTAAAAGTCTCTATAGAGCAAAATCGACCTTCTTCGTTTTTTTTTTTCTTTACTTGTTCAAGGGTAATTTATCGTCGTATAAATAGGCGCAAATAAAGTTTAACTTGACAAAATGCAGAGAAAAAAAAAGTCGTATTTAATTTCTACCGTTTCTTTTTTTCAGTAAACAAGCAGTGCATAATGTAATTTTGTTTTTATTTTTTGTTTCAAATTGAAAGTTTTATCTTGCTATATTATAAAAATTCAATGAACTATTAAAGTATGCTGACTGAATTTGAATAAAAACATCTTGTGTTTCTTTTTTTCTTTTGAATCACTTTAACATTCGTTATTCATAGTACATAAACAATATTGATATATAAGAACTAATAGAACGTTCTTCAATAAAATATGAGACCATAAAAAAAAAAGTGGTTCTATATTATTCTTATTATATTTACGAACTATACGAATATTTCAGTTTTTTTTTTTTTTGTTTTTCAAAGATGTACTATATGTGTTATTAATTTTATAGTATTTCAATATATCTCCATTTAAGAAGCGGAAAAAAAAGTAATAAGAAAGGCTCTCTTATATAAAGATTTTAAATAGGTTAATTTAAATGTATAACAACTATCTAAAAAAAAAATAATGAAATTTCCGAGTTGATAAAATAAAAAGAAATTTAGTACATTGTTTACTTACGATTCATAAAAAAATAAGTCTCTATACAAAACTAACGAAACGACAAAAAAAAAATTACAGGTGGGTACTTGAGTCAAATAACAAAAAACAGAGCAACTCACTGGTTGTCTCAGATATAATTACTCATACTGAATAATACGTTTGAAAAAAAAAACGCTGTTTTTTTCATATGGTTTACAATAATTATTTTATATTAAACAATAGAGAAAAAAAAATCAATACTCTATGTATAGATCATTCTAAACTAAACGAACTTATACCAACCTTTTATTTGATCTTAATTCTTTACAAGAATTATTATATGTCAAAAAAAAAATATTTGTTTCCTTCAATTTCTCTATTTTCAAAGATTTCTTGAGAATAATTTGATGAAACTTTCAAGATAGATAGATTTCAAATAACTAGTATAAAAATTATTATGTCCTTTGCGAACGAACTTTTTTTTTTTGTTGATTCCCGTTTCTCATTAAAATAATTTTATTCCCGTTCTTATATCTCCGTTCCCTAAAAAAAGAAAATATTTTTGTTTCCGTTCCCGTAATGATTTCTAAGTTTTTATTACTATTCAATTTTTCGTATTTGAGAAAAACTATCATTACGAGACACTAGCTTCTGTCAACATTACACTTTGCACGATATGACATAATTATTAATTAATAATAAAACAATATCAGCCGAGATGTATTTTAACATCAATTATTATTCATACGTCAAAATTTATGAACATAAAGTTGAAAGAATTATTTTCTATACAAAACTGAACATTTGAAAGGAGCGAAAAAAAAAATCATGCAAGAGAAGAAAGTAATAATAATGATATATTGTGAGATACTCTGAAAAAGACTCGTTTCGAATATGATAATGACAAAAAGAAAGTAATTATGATTATAATTGAATAATATTCTAATAAATAATAAATGAACTTGTCTCATTTTTGAGTGATAGATAGTTTTTATTTCTTTTTTTTTTTTAATTAATAAGTTATACAAAAGTCTTTGGAAGAATATCAACAATTATTTCTCTCAAATCTAACATTGTATAGACGTTGACATTTATTTTTGGATTCTTGTAGAAAACGAAACACTCATAGATTCAAAATATTCAGATGCTTTCTTCAAAGAGATATATGGAATTGTAAAGGTGAAAAATGGTCAAAGAGTTTCTCGTCAAAAAGCTTTATATTTCATTTGTTTCGAGTTGCAAATTTTTTCAAAACAACTACGATCAAAATAGAGTGTATGTATTTTTTTGTTTCTTTAAAAAAATGTCGTTTCTACAATTCAGGAGAAGCGAAATAGTTGAAGAGCATCATCAAAAAAATTGTTTGTTTAGTCTGCTGAATTTCGTAGGAATAATATTTTGACGCAAAAAAAAACAAACGTACATCAATTTTAATAAAATACGCATTAAAATAGATGATGTCGAAGAAAAGCTGAAATAACGTCGTTTTATTTTATTCGAACTTTAGTGTTGAGAAAAAAAAAAGGGACTACAAACTAAAATATTGTTTTATTTCATGATACATATAGCAATGAATTTTTTAAAACATCAGAAGTTGAATCTCGAAAAACAATTTTATGAACAAAAATCAGTGAAAATCTTTAAGTAACTAATTTCAAGAAAAGGAAATGATCACGCAAGCTATAAATGAAAAAAAGTTTTCCTTCTCATATACGAATAAATGTTCACATTTCACATCTTAGTGTTGTACGAAATACTAATATGAAAATTTTACTATATGATACAAAAACTAGTAAATCCATGTTAGTATACGAAGCAATGTATGATGTTTATAAGCATAGTCATGTTGAAATGGCTCATACATGATGCGACAAATATGTCGATTTAGTTTTTTTTTCTTTTGGTGTTGATTTACTACGTTCAATATCGATTCATTATGACTTCCTTTTTAATAGAATTTAAAACTTTTATATAAATTTATTACTTCATAAAGGTTAATATGTAGATTGTTAATTTAACGGGGTGGCGAATATTTCGCATTAAGTCATTCCAAACTCCTGTCATGTGTCCAATGGGTGTTCGGAAATTATTTTTGCCCTTAAAAAAAATCTTTGACGAGAGTTCGTAATCATTTTTGAATGGGACATCGTATTGAAAAAAAAACAGGAAGATCGGAAGAGTATGATTGTAAATTCGGAATGGCATGCTTATTACTATATGTGATATAGTGTTCGGAGATCGAGATGAACAAGCTCGAGTGTTCAGAATAAAACTGTATTTTTTTATAGGAAAAAGTCTGAAGATCATAATAAAACTGACCGAGAGTTCATAATGCGATTTGTCAGAAGATCGTAACGGATTCGTTCTGATATTAGTAACGATTGTAAAGACTTTTCTTTCTTATGATGAAGAATAGGATTCATTCATCTAGAATAATACATAAACACATTATTTCTTTCAAAAGTCATAGCGTTTGTAACAAAAAGCATATGCATGTAAAAACTAATAATGATAGATACAAGCACTTGAGTTACAATAATAATAACAACAATATAAAAATATTGACGGCTTGAATTCATCAGAATATTCTTTGTGTACTATCTTGTTTTCATTAAAATTTCCTTGTAGTTTTCATGATCATTTTCATCCCGAACTCTAGTCAAATTTCAAGATTTTATCTGTCAAGCTCGATCATTGCGATGTTTTGAACAACTTTCATTATAATAAAAATTCAAAGAGAAAAGTATATCACAAATGTATTGTGTATATTTTTGTTTTCTTCTCTTATTCAGTGTACTCTAAGTAGTAATTCCTATTCATTCTGTAATCTGCATCATATTATAGCTTTTTCAAATTTATATTTGATTATAATCTATTATGAAGAAAAGGAATGAATGTCTTATAGAGAACAAAAAAAAATAAAATAGCACTGAAGAAATGAAAAATATATATATTCAAGTAGATTTTAGAAAATTGGAAACCATTTAGAATCTATATATCAAATTCAAATTTGTATCAGCTGGATATGAAACTTTTTTAAAATAAAACCAAACTGTATAATAATAATCTTTTGTAACATGATAAGAGTAGCATTCATAGAAAACTCATTAATTTGGATGTTGCGGATATCAGTTTGTGTTTTCTCTTTACTCACATCTACATTTTCTAATTTTTCTTTTTACAAAATTTCTAATGATGCATTGTTAAAATCTATTTAATGCATTTCAAGAGATTCGATTTCAAAAGAATAAAATGGGTTTGTGTTGCTTCGTATTGACTTCACAATACTCGACTCAAGTTTTTTTTCAGTTATTCATTTTTTGGTATCTCTAGTCAATGAATTGTGAGTTTCATTGTTTCGTATAACAGCTGAAATATATAGCAATCATAGCTTCTTTCATTTCCTTCAAAGATAATTTACGAGTTAATTATGATTTAAAGGATTCTTTTGGGATGGAATATCACTCGTTTTGTTAAGTACATAGGCTTAAGCAGATCGAGATGTAAATATAAATATATGGCTTAAAAGGTAAGAGTACAGGTCTTGAGACATAGAGATACAGGTAACCTAAATTAGTCTTAGGTACTTAAAAATTTAAAGAACAGTTGCTTTGTCGTTTATTCTTGATAAGAGAATGAATATATCGTTGTTTCATAACTCATGATGGATTACTGTTCTATGTTGAAGTCAGTTGTGATACGTCAAAAGAGTTTTTATCAATGCGTATTCTATAAATAACAAAAATTTGTTGTTGTTCATATTTCTTGATTTGTATCAACAGATAGTCTAAACATTGGTATATCTTAGCATCAGTCAAGCAGAACATACCTTTCTGAAATCGTTAATATCCATAAGAGCATAGGCTACATTGATTTTTGAAAAATAATTTCCTGTCTCTACTAAAGAAAAATCACGACCTCGCAATACTCTGTTTGAAAGATATGACTATCACAATCTTTTGGTCTTCTTTATTCTTGACATATATTTTACATTATGAGGTGTTTTTTCATTCCTTTTCTTTACTCATACGCATGCATGTACATGAATATCGACGTATATATTAAAGAAAGACTGCCATATCCAGTGACACATATATTAACAAAAATAATTAAGGACATCAAGAAAAAAAAAGGTAAGTTTTTGTCAATCCAAGAAAAACATATACTGCGTCGAGCGATGAGGTAAAAAATAAAGACGCATATAGGACTTATTATGTATTTGTGAGGTCTTGACATATATGTGAATTGAATCAATCAATATAGCAATAAAAAAATATGCATAATTCGCTGGAAATTAGTAGCTTACTAATGACTCCTAAACATTGGAAAGATTTGATCAATGTCCATCCTTTTTTTTCATGGGATAAGTTATATATATTATTTCTATGTTTCAGTTGAAGAAAGTGATATGTATTCTAGCCAATAATTTACTAAAGAGTATCGATGAGACAATTGATCCGTGTGAAAATTTTTATCAGTTTACCTGTGAAACATGGCTCAAGAATAGAAAAATATCTATGAAAGGTCAGCTCTTCTCTGTCTCTTCTATCTTTAACAAACATTACTTTATTTGCGGATACGGTTGAAGCTACATTCGGCATAGTCGAAACTCAATTGACTAACAATATAATTGGTTGAATACTTTATCTATTTATGGTCGATTACTCGTTTGTTTTCTCTCGTTAAAGATGTTCTCTTCTCATCGTCATCATCAACTAACATCAATCAATCTCATGCGACTATTAATGCTCGTCGTTTGTATGGATGTGTGGGCGTGGGTGCGAGTGTGAGTGTTCTCTTCACCACACAACAGCTACACTCAACGTTAGCCACACCCAAATCTTTTTTTGAAATATTATTTCAACAGGTTCATTATTAATTTTTTAACGTTTTTGTAATTCTTAAATCGAGTACTTCGTTATCAGAATCCGAATGTTCGTGAATATTATCAAAAGTGTCATTTGCTGCACAAATATTTTGCTGTAGAACAACTTTGAGTTTATTGGACGTTGGAGAAGGAAGAAAGGAATCATTTGGTTCATCTTTTCGTTCTTTCACTTCAGTTGTTTCTTTCAAGTCTGTCAGAGTTTGTTTGAGTTCATTTACTTGATCGATATCATTATAAGTGGCTATTATATCCGAATGAGTAGAATATAAGAAATTTAATCGTATATCAAGACATTTCTTAAGATTTTCTATTGCTACCTGATGATTTTGATTTTTGCAATGTATCAAACCCATATGATTGTATATGATAGCTAAATCTAATTGATCTTTCGCCCAAAGTTTTTTGACTGCTGAGGCAGCTTTTTCTAAGTACGCTAACGCCTCAGAATGCGAGTGTTGACATTCATAGAGAAGACCAATATTCATATAAACTTGTGCTAGATTATTACAATATTCTGTTGGATTATTTTCTATTATTTCAAGTGCTTGTTTATATTTGTTCATTGCTATATCATAATTACCATTATTTCTATGTACATTACCAATATCAATATGAACCATTGTAAGACAACAATAATTGATTAAATGAGATTTGAGATAAATTTCAAGAACTTTCTCATATGTTTGTAATGTTAATTCATAATGACCTTGATAATTATAGATATGTGCAATATTATGACAGACATCAGCTAAATCCGGATGATTTTCTGGTAAACATAATCGTCTAATATGAACAGATTTTTGAAAAGAATCTAGTGCTTGAGAATAATCTTTCTTTAATTTATATGTTAATCCCATACTATAATATGTATTGGCAAGATCAAGTTGATTTATGGGTGTCATTGTTTCTGCAATAGTTAAAGCTACAGTATGATAGAAAATAGCCATTCCAAAAAGACCATTGTCAGCGTTAGCTAAAGCATAACCATTATACATGTTTATGAGTGATGGATGATTAGTCCGTACATATTTATTTAGACGATCAAGAGCTCTTTTGAATATCGATAATGCTACTCTATATCCTTGAAATTTAGCAATTGAACATGCAAGATTATAGTTAAGCGTGGCAAAATCAATATGATCATGATCATTTTTAAATGGTAAAGAATTAGCTAGAAGAAGAAAAGCTGTTGTAAAATAATTTGATGCTTCCCGATAATTATTTTGACAATGTTGTAATACGCCCATATTGCAATAAATCATGACAAGATCACGATGATCAGACGGATATTTATTTAAGAGTATACGATAATAATTTTGTGCTCTATTATAATCTCCTATTTTGTATAAGAAATCTCCTAAATCATTAATACTTGAAGTTTGATCTAAATTATCTTGAAAATATTTTCGTAGGTTTTGTAATTGTTGATCTTCATCACCACTTAATATTAAATTTACAAGCCACACATATTGATCTAAACTTTCAACTGATTCAATTCGAAATATCGTACCCAAAGAAAATAAAATTTCATCTTCATCTTTCATAAAACTTTTTTCTTTTATATTCGCAAAAGGTTTAAGGTTATCTTGTGTATAAATTTTAATTTGAAATAAAACTGATTCTCTTAATGGTCGACTATCTCCTTGACCAGCAAATAAAAGAGCAACGTCTTTTTCTAAAGATGTCGATAAAAATGTATTGAATGAGATAAGTCCTCCAATATTGTTTTTTAAATTTTCTAATTCATTAACAGTTATACATCCGCCACGAGAAAACAGTTAAAACCATATCATCGAGTAACTCCATAAATTCATTATGTAGGAATTTGAGTTGATTAAGAAGATCAGTAAGAAAAAAAAATCGAAATTTAAATACAATATCAATATTCTCTGTTCGAAGTGCTTTATTTAAAGTACGAAATAGAAATGAATCACGTGTATACCAAGATATTGCTTCATCAACGGAATAATTTTGTTCAAAATCTTTGATTTCATAACATAATCGACACTCATTAATCATTTCAATTTTTGACGTCGATTTATCAGGCATTCGTAATAATACTTCAATCAATAAATAAAACTACATAAATGTTGCATTTTCTTTACTTAATTGTCGAATTGATTTTTCATCAGAACTTAAATTGAATATTGTTATAGGTATTGTGGAAATTGACAATAACTGAGCATCTTTCTGTAATTTAGAGAATAATTTTGATTTATCATCGAATATATCAACAATTTTTAAATAATCCTTTGTCCATTGTCTATGTTTTTCAATTTTGATTAATGAATTACATATAAAATATCGTAAAAAATATTCGCAAAATATATAAATGAATTGTATATCGGCATGGCCGCGCATCGGTCACCCTACCCTGAGGAAGGTTTATACGCACTAAAAATAAAGAAAACTCTCTCGAAATCCAAAATTTCGCTACTAACAGATTATGAAACACGTTGCAACTTCTGAGATACGTTGTTGATTGGTTATATAAACCGTATTTTTCCTCCAATAAGTGTCTGAAAACGGATTTTTTGACGAATTTCACCAAAAAACTATCCGTTCTGAGTCCCATTATATTTCATTTTTTGTCCAAAAAACAGGCAGAATTTTAATGTCATTCTGCTTTGAACGTGAAGCTGATATTCTCGCGCGATAGAACTATCTGTGTACTATTCGCGGATACGAGAAATGATGGGTTTTCATCATGATAATTAAAAGCTGTAAGGTTCCTAACCATCCCCATTAGAAAGTCAAAAAATAATGAAATTCCGTAACGAAGTGAAATTCCGTAACGGATAGTATTTACAGTTATTTGATTTGGTACAGTTATGCTTTCTAGGAAATGAATTGATATTTTGAAAGCTCATGGAAAACTGAATAACTTTTATATAGAGCATTTATTTGTATGTCGTTTCGTGATGTGGTAAAATGCTTAACTTCTGCATCACCCTAAAAAAAATTTCCATTTTATGAAATTCCGTAACGGTCAGTATTTGTTGAATAACTCAACTATGACTAGACAGAAATAGATAAAATTTTTACTGATAATAGATCTCAGCCATCTCTATCTATGATAAAAATTTTAGCAAGTTTGCCTTGATTTTTGAGAAGCTACAGGTGTCACAATATGAAAAAATGAAATTCCGTAACGCGCGGCCACGCCCATATGAACTAAATCATGTATTTTCGGAACAAAATTTTCAGCAATTGAATCAGATAAAATTAAAAACATTTTTTCTTTTGGATTAGAGCGAATATATTCCAAACAACAGTGTTCATTTTCGAAGACTTTTATGTAATTGATTAATTGACGTAGTTCAAATTCTGTATCGGAATTAAGTTGGCTTTCTCTCAGCCACACAACGACAAATTCATCAACATGTTTTTCAATATCATATTTGTCTAGACGTTTGGGTATTGTTGAAGTGGAAACAATTGGACCTGTTGAACTGGTAATAGAATTCAATGCCATCCAAGATAAACCTTTTAAAATAATGTCAGAGTTATAATATTCAACAATCTAAACCTCCCGACACATTAGAAGACCCTCCCCTCATTTGACAATTTAGTTTTTTAATGATTTCCGCAATGTAGTAATTTGTTTTAGCATTTATGTACATTCGTATGCTAACATTCTATGCCCTGTATGAACAATATTTTGCTTTCGCTGGCTTAGCGGTGTCAGTTACGAGTGGCACAATTCATGAGAAAATAATAATAGGAAAGAATGGTTAAATAAAAGTGAGTTTTTTTAATTAGAAGACATGTTCTGGGAGGATTTTAGTGTTTCTCTTCACGCAAGCGTACAAGGAATCAGAAAGTGACGTTTTTACGAGTTATTTTAACGGTTTTGTATGGCTAGAGAGCACGCTCTGAGGAGATTTTTACGCTTTTTCAACTAAAACCATCATTTCCACGGTTATAGGACATGATTAACAAGGTACGTGTCTAAATGTGTCATATAGGAAGAGATCTTTCTCAAATAGAAACATATTCTGTAAAAATCGATTTGTCTATTATTTGAAATCGCACTTCGTCGATGCACTTTCTTATAGAGATTTGGGCACATTTTTGACACAGAAGACCATACTTTTAACTGGAGAAACATACCTTTGAGACTATGAATTCGGACGTGTCCTATTACGTATACCTTCTAGGCCTGAAAATAGATTTCTTGTCACAACAAAAGCGAAAGCCGTTTTCGAAAGAGACGCAAAGGAGTGTAAAAGCATCGGACAATGTGTATTCAATCACTCTTTTTCTATAAAGCTTTTGGTCATCATCACTCTTATACATTCAAGCGAGCTAAAAATTAATAATGAAGCTCGTGGTACATTCCAGTTTGATTGGATTCTATCTATACTAATCAAAATATTGACATAAGCCGCTGACTTACAAAACATTGATTAAGAAAATTTTAATTTCTTTCTTTGAACTATTTAGTTATAAGGAACGATAAATGTTGCGAGTGATTTGTATTATTGTTTGAAAATAGTGCTATCATAAATCGTGTAATTTATGGTATTGTTCGAAGAGCATTCTTCTTATCAATGATTTGTTTTCTTCTTTTTTACGCGGCTGTATTATGTGTTTCTTTTTCATCATACAAATGCAGACTAGTAACAAAAACTTATTTACAAACAGTATATTGAACATAAAAGGATTGAAATTAGAAACTTTCATTGAGACTAACAAAAAAATATGGCTTTTTCAAGGGACATAATAGAAGACCGCATCCGTAACTTGTGAACGATAAGATAGAATAGAAGACCCCGGATCTTCTAATGTGTCGGGGGCTTTATTTAATTTCTATACGAATATAATGCTCAGAAGATTGATTTGAAAACAATCGATTTTTTTGGAAAAAAGTTTTCTCCATTTTTATGTTGAATATATCAAGTTTATGAAGATTAAAATCAAGTTTTCCTTAAATATTAGATGTTAACGATGTTAATGATACATAATAATGAAACTGAAGTATGTATATTGAAGAGTTTATCGTAATACATATTTCTCTCTATTTAACAGTTCAACTCAAACAAGGTCTGAATACAAAAGATAAAAGAAATATTGCTAATTTAATAAGAGACTTAAGAATAATTCAATTTACCTATACATATATACATATATATAACAAAATTCTTCTATTATGTAACAATTAATGATCGAAAGATTGAAGAATTAATTACTATAGTTCAATTATATGTATTAAAATATAATAAAAAAGATGTTAGCACGATTTCTCTGGAAATAAAATGTGAAACATGATGGAGTAGCTTCCATTATCAATGAAGAAATCTGATACAAAACTTCCTAACATCAACTTAGATGGAAGCGTTTCAAACTAGCACACTTAGATACTTCAGTCAAAGTATAGAGAAAATAGATTTCGAGCGCAAAATATTTTCTCACCTTCATGTTTACATATAAAACAGTATTGTGTTGTCCTTGTAGAAATAGAAAAAAAAGCTGAATTCTTTTTTGTAGAGAATGAAAATAAACAGTAACAAGTATTCGCCAATACTATTGCAACTTCACATAACCAGTGTTGAAGGTACATAAAACAGAAAGAAAAAATACAAGAGACGAAAGATGTCGATCAGAACTTCTCGACGTCAGGCAAGACGATCAAAGTGCAAAAATAAAAATATAACAACAAAACAGTTTGAAAACTATTGTTAATATAAATAACCCATTGACATGGTTTGATCAATTAACTACTGAAATTATTTTTCATATATTTGATCATTTATCATCTAATGATATTATTTATACATTCTATTATTTTAATCAACGATTCAATTCTATATTATTACAACATCAAATGTTTTTAAACATTTTCGAAACACCAACAACAAATTTTTACTTTTGGAAAATATTTTATTGATTATTGGATCACGAATACAATATTTAGTTATTACTACAATTAATTTTTGTTTTCCTTTAAATTTATTTCCAAATATAAAATCCATCATTTGTTCTTCTTCGCTTCCGATTAATAATGCAAACTTATACTTTATATTGGAAAGTGAACAATTTAATAAACTAAAATCATTTAAAATTAAAAGTGAATTTTTTTATGGAGGAAACTCTTATTACGATTTGAAAGAACTCGAAGAAACTTTATCCAAAAAATATTTAATACATGAAGATTCATTACAAACACTTGAATGTTAATTAGAAGTATCTTTTAATAAAATTGACACTTAATAGCCAACGAAAATGCATTCATTATCATTGAAAACCACAGATTTCAAGAATCGATTTTCTTTTTTTAAGTATACATCAAATTTGAAATATTTTAATCTTATATTAACTACATTTAGTTTCTACTACCAGTTCAATGCAAAAATGGATCCATCAAAAAAAAACTGCAATAATTCTATTTTATATATGACGTGAGACAAATTTCAATAAATTACCTACGATACTTGGTTAGCTAGAGAAGCACGTGTCCAAAATCTTTCCATTAGTCTAAAGAATGATGTCGATCAAGCCAACGATTTTGTCACTCCTTTTGATTTTGCTGTCAATGAGCAATGTTACTAAATGCAATGAATGCGATACACTTCTTCCATTTATTTGAGGTAAATATTTTCAGCAGGGAAAGGTAAAATTCTATAATTATTTTCTGTATAGGGAACAAGTCTGTTTTTCACTGCGAATATATGAGGGTGTGGGTGTGAAAAGGAAAACTCTCGCACCTACCCTCACACTCACCCATCCACATCCACACCTACACCCACCCACATAACTGAAACTTTTACATGAGAATCTTTAGGATGTGGATGTATGGGTATGAATTGGTGGGTAAAGAGAGAATCTACATATCCACCCATACTCACATCCACAATCTCCTTTTTGGTTTGTTCTTTTGTCTGTAGGAATAAAAAGAGAAAAAAAAGCAGGAACTATAAGACGAGTATTTATTAGTAGTATTCTGTGTGCATGAAAATCCATTGATAAGTATGTCATGTATTTTTGGATTCTTTATTCGTTCCCAGTCGATAACTCCCTGTGAACACACTCGTCAAATCGGATGTAAA